TGAGCATAATATACACACTGAAGGTCCAACTACTTTGGTCAGATTAATCACCACACAGAGTCACAGAACATGAGACAAAACTTTTTAGTATATTTTTGTCATATGATTTATCGTCAATATGAAAATAAGGTACCTTTATATAGCAAAACATACATGTTTCCTGTCTTTGGGCCTAAATAAAAAAAGACCTATTTCCCTTCATCTTGGCAAAGACCAGAGATGTTTTAAAATACGCATTCTCTTTTTAACTAACTCTGAAAAAAGGTAAAAGTCTCTTTATTATCTTCAAAACACACTAGATGCTAGACACTAGACAACTCCATGTACCTAAAGGAAGTGGGGTGGAAGACAATGCAGCAGCAGCAGCCAGTCCAGCAAGATTTGGTGGAGGAGTTCCAGGTGGTGTTGTCTCTATTCCACTCTCTTCCATCATTTTTCTTCAATTATGGTGTACTGTAAAAATATAAAAATGTACTAAGTATTACACAGTAGCCAAAAGTATATTTTTAAGGCTTGTATAGTGAGAGAATAATTTCATTGAATAATCATTAAAGGATGGATGTCTGTCTTAATGTTTATAATGCCATTTATTTCCAGATGAAGGGTCTGTCAAAATTCCTAAGTCTGTGAGAATATTAAATATGTAAGCATTTCATACACGTACTTTATAATTAGAAAAAAATTTTATGCTCACTATATAACTAATCATCCAATATACTGGTAAATAATATATACTATTATATAAGCAGTAAATTATATTAGTAAAAATTTAAATAATAAATTACTAATTTAATTTGTCATATGAATATTAGATTTCTATCTAGGTTCCAGTCATTATTACATTTAAAATAAAAATAAATTATTGAAGTTTTTGAAACGCTTCCTCTCTCCCCATAAAGCTTTGTATGTGGGCTACTCCTCTTGTTAACATTAAAAAATAATAAAAAATACTCAATTCTTGGTTTTCCTAGTTCATATTCTAAAACATACCCAGTAATGGCTGAATGATATGTCTCAGGTTTTAGAAAAGTTAACTAGAGCAAAAATGCCACTAGATAGCAGGGTCCTAACAGATGACAACAGATTATAAAAAATGAGAGAATACCTTTAAAAATTATACACTTTCAAGCCTGTCTCTAGTATAAACTCAAAACTTTTAAATATACCAAATATGTTGTTGATGTTTTTACTCATTTAACATTCAGTGAAGGTCAACTACGTGCCAAGCACTGTACTGATGCCTCTGGAAATATAATGAAAGCAAAAACAAGATACTTACACTTCAGTACAGGAGATAATCAAAGAATAACATTTATGTAGAATGAATTATAGCCTGGATTATGTGCTCTAAGCATAAGAACACAGATGTTTGACATGTTTGATTTTCTTTTCTTTTCTTTTTTTTGCAATATGATTTTTGACTTGAAGGTCTGGGAAGGATCTGTCAGGAAGTCACATATAAACTGAGATGTGAAGGATGTGCAGAATTTAATTAGGCGAGGGAAAGGCAGTAAGGAGGGCAGATTCTAGAAAAAGTGAATGTACAAAAAGTATAAAGACCCTATAAAGTAGAAGGAACAAGACACATTCAAGAAAACCCATGTTGCAAGGAACAGAAAAGAAAAATGGACCTAGAGACACAGGCAGGAGTCCAGACTGTGTTGAGCTTTATAAGCCAGGCTAAGGAGTTGTTTTTTCTCAAGAACATGACGTCATTATGGGGCATTTAGGCTGGAAGTGACCTTTCTTTTGTTTTGTCTTTTAACTTTTTTGAAGAAATTTTATATTGACAAAAAGATACAAAAATAGTACAGAGTTCATAAGTACCCTTAACCCAGCTTCTCCCAATAACAGTATCTTATATAACTATAGCACAATGAATCAAACCCAGAAAATTAACATTGGTACAATACTAGTAACTAAAATACAGACTTTATTAGGACTTCGCCTGTTTTTATATTTGTGCACGTGTGCACGTGTATGTGTAGTCCTATGTTCTATAAAGTCTCATCATATGTAACAACTCATGTAACCACCATCACGATCAGGACACAAGTGTTCCACCACCCTCAAGAAATTCCCTGATGCTGCTCCTTTATCACACCTTACCACCAACCACAAGCCCTGGCAACCAAATATTCTCTAATGTTTTCTCATTTCGTGAATGTTACAATAGAATCATACACAACATAAACCTATTGAGATTGGCTTTTTTTCATTCAGCATAACACCCTTCAAATCCATCAAGTTGTTGGATGTATCAATAGTTAGTTCTTTCTTATTGCTGAAGAGTACTCCAGTTTATAGATGTACCACCGTTTATCCATTAATCTGTTGAAAAACATTTAGGCTGATTCCAGCTTTTGTCAATTTACATTTGTGTTTTGAAAAGATTCTTTTCATGACAATATGCAGATTGGGCCATACGGTAGTCAGTAGTCAGAGTAAATGCAGAGACTATTAAGCAGGACGCAGAAGTAGTTCACATAGAAAGTGATAACACCCTGGACTTTTAGGGATGTGGGGAAAGAGGGTACCTGTCTCCTAAGGGTCATTTGGCAATGCCTGGAGACATTTTTGGTTGTCAAAACTAGAGGAGTACTACTAGTATCTACTAGGTAAAGACTGAGGATTCTGCTAAAAATCCTACAACACAGGACGGCCACCACAAGAAAAAATTATCTGGCCCCAAACATCAATAATGCCAAGGTTGAGAAACTTTGGCCTAGATTAAGGTGATGATACTGGAGATAGAGAAGCACAGATTCAAGAAATGCTTAGGTGGTTAGATTCAGTGACAGACTGGATATGGGAGCAATGAGGAAGAGAGGCATGACTTGGACAACTGGATAGATGGTAGTGCCATTCGCTAAGAGAACATTAAAAAGGTCAAGGTGTTTGATTTGGGGGAAGGGTGGTATGTAGTGTTTAATATTGGACATGCCAAGTTAACCCCCTTGAACCATCCAAGGAAAGGCAATGACTTGGTCTGCAGCTTAGAAACCACATAAGTGTGGGTCTTTTGCATTTACTGATAGTCTCTAAAGTCATGCTCTGAGATAGGTTAAGAAGAGAATACCAAATGAAAAGAGATGACCCAACCAATTTCTGAATAACCAGGCAGAAGACAAGCTAGCAGAGAAGAATGAGAGATGACCAGAAAGAAAACTTGAAGACTGTGGAGTCCAAAAGCCAGAGTGTTTCAAGGCAGGCACAGGCAACAGTATCAAAGTGTGCAGAGACACCAAAAAGGATGATATCTGAAAAATTTAACGATTTGCCAAACTGGAGACGAATGTAG